AAAATTAAAAATCTAATATTATAATATCTAATCTAATAATAATATAAAATATCTAATATTTTATTAAATAAAAAAATAATGAAACATGTTTATACAGGGTGGGTCTTAAATAAACACATATATTTTCAGGACTGGTAGATCTCGATAAAAGAAACATAACTTCTCTTTACCGGTTTTCAGATAGTCCAAAATAACGCAGTTCTTTACTTACTTACTGAAAATAAAAAAAAATGCTTAAATTTTTAGAACCACTGTATCTTTTCTGTGTTTGCTTTCTTGTAAATTCAATCTACTACCTATGTTGCCATATTATCAAGAAATTATGATTTTTAACTAAAAAAATACAAAAATTCCTTATACACACGTCCGTACCACAGCAAAAAATTTTCCATTTTTTTTTTCAAAAAATTCCAAATTTTCAATTTTTTTTTCGGGAAGTCGTTTTTCTGGGGTCAGTTTCTGGGATCGAAATATACTAACCCTAAAAATATTTGCGCTTATTTAAGATTCACCCTGTAGAGTCAAACGATCGAATGACAGTAAACCAACAAACACAGAACCACACACCAACCAAAACACAGTACGATGGATAAAAAGTGGCGTTACGGTGGCCTTTGAAATGATAGTCAGTAAAAAACAATTTTTGAAATGATTGTCTTTGATAGACAAGAAATTTTGTGAAAGATATGACAAAATGATCAGTATTTCCGAGACTAACAATTTTTATAAAATTATGTGTAATTGTATATTTTCGGTGGTTAAGTTAAATTTTGTATTGTTTCTTAATTTGCTGGATAGTATCTAGCTAAGAAATGTATAATATGTTTTTATTAAAATAAACCAGATAGATTAGGATGTATAATCCCTAGTTAGTCTATAAGCTAACCAAATGAAATATTTTAAAGTTGTTTTTTTGCTGGATATGAGTGAAATAAAACTTAGGTGTTTTATTTAGTAACTAGTCGACGTTACCACGAATTTATAGCCTTTCTTCGGGACTCTAAAATCAAATCTTAATTTAATTTTTTCTCCATGTGCATATGGGTGTTATATTTAATTTAAAGTTACATTGATATCTAACAAAAAATCCATGTAATTACATGCAAGACAAATAGATTACAAATTAAAAACAGACAAAACATACCTATCACATAAAACGTACAATAATAGACAAAATATTATACATCTACAAATTTGTTGTTTCCCTGTAAGTGCCTTTCACATGGAGCGGATCGTCCATATGCTTAAAGTAGTAGCCCCCCCCCATCACCCCCATGAGCTTATATCAATATATTTACGTGGTCGCGTTGCGCGTATGATCCGTCCGGATATTTTCGTCTGACGGCCATCCGTCAAACCCCTGCGTCGACTGACCATCCGCGTGGACTATTATGATTAACGATGCCATATGATTAAATACGCTGTTTTACATGCGCGGATTGACAGCCACAAGTGAAACTACTCTATCATACCTTGAAAACAAATCGATAAGCGCGGGCAGTCCGGAAGAAATTTGAAAATTTTTATTCGTAAACAAATTACTAACATATAAGTTTTTTATATACATTTCTTTTTTAATTATATGACTAGGTTATAGGCAAGCAAATAGCAGTTATTATTATATTTTATACCACTATTTTAAAAACATATTTGTCACATTCCTTAATGTTTAAAGTTGCAAACCGTTTGTTTGTCTCTCAAGGACCACCAATTTTCAAAATTTCAAATCTCGAGAACTCCAGAAACGTCACTTTTTTCCAAAATTGTAATGTAAGCGTGTTTTATAAGATATTTAGATGACATATTTTAATCGTAACATACACATACATAAATCCGTGTTACAACATAGTAGGTCGAACCGAATATCCAAGACACTTATAAATGCTATTTAATCTTCAGATACAGCACTTTTAATGGAACAAGGATTCTCTCTTATAACAGTGTTGTGATTTTCAGATATTCGACAAGCGTTTTATTTGAATGTTTATTTAAAAGCTTTTATGTTTAACAAGTAATAAAAGCAGGTATTTAAAAATATATCTTTTAATGGTTATTGTTATTTGGTGAAATTCTGTAACATTAATATTGTAAATAATGTCTATATCTTTGTTAACTTTTTTTCTTGGATTTTACTTTATTTTTAATGGTTCATTTCTATAATTAGTATTAATTATTTTAATTAGCATTTTCTATTATTTGCATCATCATCATTTTCAGCTTATTCAACCATTTCCAATTACGCCTCCCTCACATATTTAGATACACTCTTTGTAGTTGGGTCCATTGGTTGTCTATTGTTGGCTATGCGAGCCCAAGTTATCCCTGCTAATTTCGCAATATCATGGTCCCATCTCAGGTTCCGTCTTCCTCTTAGGCCTCTTAATTCCTCGTGGGTACCATGCTATATATTTTGTGGTTCATCTGGTATCTGTTCTTCTTGCCAGGTGTCCTGGCCATTACCATTTGAGGGATTTGACTCTGTGCATGACATCTATAACCTTGATCTTTTGTCGTATCCACTCTATTCTTTTATAGTCTCTCTTGGTTATTCCTAGTATATTTCGTTCCATTGAACGTTGTGTGACTTGCAGTTTCCCTATGATGTCCCTTTTAAGTGTCCAGATTTTGCATGCATAGGTCATGACTGGGAGTACACACTGATCGAATGTTTTCTTCTTTAGATAAAGTGACATTCTAGATTTAAATATGATTGAGTTTCTTCCATAAGTACTCCATGCTAACTTAATTCTTCTGTTGATTTCTGGTAGTAGAGATCCCGAGCTGTGCATTAGTTGTCCCAAATACATATATTCTTCTACTATTTCCAGTGTTGTGTTATGTATCAGAATGACTTTTCTTTCCACTAGTTCATTGTACATCACTTTAGTTTTTGTTAATTTCATTTTGCTAAGTTCTTTATTGCTGGTTGTATTTAGTTCATTAATTTGTGCTTGTAGTTCTTCAGAAAAGCAGACACACGGAACTATTGGGGTATCAGTTTGATGAGTGCCGTACAAAAACTGTTTACTAAAATTTTAGCAGAAGAAGTAATGTCAACCAGAATTTGTGAAGAACAACAAGGATTTAGAAATAATAAGACTGCAATAGATGCCATATTTATCATCCGCTAAATAATCGAAAAGCCATAGAATTAATAAGACAGCTTTTATGTACTTCATTGATCTTACCCAGGCATTCGATAGAGTCCAATTAACTGATGTCATAACCTACTGCAAAACAGGAGAATTCAGTCGAATATTATAAAAGTTATCGAAAAGTTGAATACCGAGAAGTATACATACGTAAGAGCGGTCAATAAACTAAGCAGAAAAATAGCTGTGACAACCGGAATCAGACAAGGAGATAACTTAAGCCCAACCCTGTTCAACATCGTAATGGACGAAATCATAAATGAAGTAAAGCACTGGGAGATAAATAAATAAAAATAATATGCTATGCTGAAGATGCAGTACTCATTTCTGAAGACGAAAATATATCTTTTTTTTAATAGATAACTTACAAAAGCTTCTATATCAGTTCCAACAAAAAGCAAAACTATTTAACATGCAAATATCCGTGAAAAATCAAAATCCCTTACAATATCTAGAGAGCCTAGAAGATATGATCAGAGTGTAGAATAAGTGATGTCATTTAAATATCTAGGGGCAAATATAACAAGCACTAGGAATCTCAAAGAGGAAGTGAAAACCCAAACAACAAAGGCATAATTAATATCAGGATATTTAAGGGATATAATTTGGCGAAATAAATATATAAGCAAATTCAGAATTTATAAGGCTTGCGTGAGACCATTTATGACATATGCGATAGAGACTAGAGCATAGAACACAACAACAAAACGGCTCCTAAGAACAACAGATGCGAACACTAAGATCAGATATATCCTGGTATATCCTGTAATTATTACTGTATTGTATTATATGACCGGAAAAGAAGTGAGGATATAAGGGAAACATGTGAAGTACAGGATGTAGTAAGATGTGCAAGAAACAGGAGAAGAGAGTGAAGAGACCATGTGGACAGGATGCCAAACGACCTGTTAGTAAAAACTGCTAAGAAGATACCCAACCGAGGACTCAACACGCCTCGACCACCTATAAGATGGTATGAAAGCTGGTCTTCATCATTCCAACTGTTCTTAGGGAACCTTTGAAGAAAACACAGGACTTGGTCCTATCGTACGAAAAAGAAGAAGAAGACACAGAAGAAGTTCTTCAAGACTATTGACAATTAGGTAGAGAAAATCATTTAAGAGGTATTAATAAATAAATAAAAATTATATAGTTTTCAGGACTATGGAATCGACATATGGACATAGGACAATAGTTGCAGTGGAATAGGGCAATAGATACAGTGAAATAGGCATTGAAAACTAATGAACTTAACAGACGGCATGCAGATTTTGTCAATCCGAGAAAGTAACGGTAGGTCATAATTTGTATCAGTGCAATGAACCATGTGTCTAGTTGATGATAAACCATTAAAGTAAAAAGTAGTAAGTTAGCGTCTCCTTTTTGCTGCTAAGGTTAATCTGGGCTAGGTCTACTTTGTTTACGTGGAATCCGAATCGCCGTCCACGCCTCTATCATTGTCAATGGCCTACCGACTTGATGAGTGTCTAAATCGACTCCTCGATATCCGATCTCATCCAGCTTCAAACCAGTGTGTGTCAATATATTTTAAACTCTTGCCGTGGTACAACAGAATGACAGAGTTTCCAAACGATCACCCGTCCATTCACTACCATCGTCCAAAGTTGCCTAACTTCGGTGATCTATCCGGAACTGGTGTTTTGACGTAGCTGGGACGTTGCCCCCATTGACATTGAGCTGAACAGATAGTTCAGTCTCTAAATTATTAGATTTTGTGAAAAGTACAAATACGAATTAAAAATGTAGCTTCGATATTGGAGGAAAATATAACTGATTAAAGGACTAATTGGAGGGACATGAACGTTTATATATATGCCTGCTTTCTAGAATATGGAAAAAAATTTGACAGTGTGTTGCACCAAAAACTTGCCGAGATTCTTAGAATCACCGGTGTGGACGACGGGAACCTGCTCATTATTACCCAGTTATATTGGAACCAGACTGCAGAGATCAGGGTGGATGGCGGAACATCTGATGAAGTAGAAATTAGGAAGGGTATCAGGCAGGGAGTGTATTATCCCCACTCCACATCTGCTCCGAGGCGGTATTCCGTGAGAGCGTTAAGGATGGTATCAAAATCTATAGTACCTCAATTAACAATATTCGCTTCGCAGATGATACGGTCGTACTGGCTGGCAACATTCTACACCTTCAGAACATGTTGGACTGCATCGGTCAACATGCAGTACGGATTACACATCAATGTTAACAGAACCAAACTTGTATTTTCCAAAACACCGGGAAAGAATGTCCTCAGAATTAACAACAAGGTGCTAGAACACGTATCGTCCATAAAATATCTAGGAGCCCTCGTTAACGACGCTTGCGACCCCAAAACTGAAATTTTGGCGAAGATCGAACAGGCTTACTTTTGCTTCCATAAAAACCTTTTCCAGCCTCGAGAGATCTAAGCCTCGAACTACGCATACGTATGCTGCGTTGCTACATCTTTCCAGTATTTCTCTACGGCTCTGAGAGTTGGACACTCAAACAGACATTGGAAAATCGCATTAATATTTTTGAGATGTACTTGTATAGTCGTATGCTGCGTATATCCTGGATGGATACAGTAACAAATGAGAAGGTGCTCAGGCGCTTGAGCAAAGATAAAGAGCTCCTATCAACAGTGAAGGAAATGAAGTTACAGTAAGTCGGTTACATCATGAGGGGTGAACGATACGATGTGCTCAGACTAATCATTGAAGGCAAAATTGAGGGGAGGAGTGTGAAGAAGGCAAAACTCCTGGCTTAAGAATCTGCGTCATTGGTTCGCAAGAACATAGATTGAAATTTTCAGAGGCGCAGTGTCACGCACCATCATAGCCAGTTGGATCGCCAACCTCCGAAAGAAGACGGCGACCTAAGAAGAAGAAATGGAATCCACTTCACAAATTCTAATAACATCTAGGAAGATAATAGTATAGGATCGTGTGTTGAAAACAGAACCTGATTCCTCGATAACTATCCCAACTATACATATTTCTCAAGCCGAAAATCGTGGCAACATTATATTGAGCGATTTAATTGGATGGTGCGAAAACTCCCAACGCGATGGAATCAAAAACGGCGTCCGAGGCGGCGCCCGCGCCTCAAAGAAATATCGACATGTTGTAAAACACAAAAATGTCCGCCGGAAAAAATACCCACTGATTTTCGGCCCCGATTAGACTAAAACTAACAAATGTTAAATGCAAATAACCGACCGGCCGGCCAAAAAAGAGTTCGGCTCGGACGCCGGGGTGGACCTCGCTCGTTCTGAATGGGTGCCCGGGCCAAATGGCACAGTGGCGGCACCGGGTGGCCTACAGCATAGAGAATAGTCAAAAGTTCAACTTTAACAACTAGTTATCGTTTTGCTCGTCGTTTTGTGTCAGTTAAAATTATGAACATTCTCAGAAATTTGCCAAGAATGGAAACTTATCCTACATCAGAGAGAATTGGTATGATTCTATTAGTTTATGACTGCAGTGAGAATTCACCATTTAATAGAATACTTAAATGCTCCTAATTAATCTAGTCTTGACTTTTTTATTGGGTATGTTAAAAACAGTGTTTACAAAACTCGACCAACTATTGTCGACAACATGAGAGAAATGATTGTGACTGCTTTCCGAAGTAGAACTTCATATATACCTTTTAACACGAAAAGGCCTTTTGAAAAGAGAGGTATTTTATGCGGACATATGTTATTCCAACAGGAAAGGAAACATATTGTGCATTTGATTTCATCGAACTAATTTTTGTGTCATAATTATACGCTTATATCTAGTTTTAATTTTGTAATAATTAAAATACATTTTAAACGTGTATCTTTTTAGTACCGTTGAGTATTTTCCTCTATATCCTTTAATTTTTGTTAAATTAACAAAAAGTATATCACAGCCACTTAGATTTTAATAAATAATAAAAATCTACTGAGACAAAATCATAAAAATGAAAATATCTAGGAAAACCTTTGTCTGGAGGGGTAGGATCAAATAGTATTTTAAAGATATATATATTTTCCATTGAATACAAGAGTGACTTGCTTTTAAAAGTGGCCAATGTTCAGTATTAATTTTTTCTCACCCTGTATAACTTTTCGGATCAAATTTAACGTGTTGCTAAAACTGTAACTGGTTTAACGAGTCTCCGAAAGGCAACACTTTAAGCCAGAACCGATAGTACCGCACCCTTGAGCACTAACTGAACTAATGGATATGTGACAGACGTAATCGGTAGAATAGGTATCTGTATTCCATACTACGAAAAAGGCGGGCGGTTTAAATGTGAATCTAAAATTTTATGTATTTTTGAAAATATTACGAAATTAAAACTGCAAAAGATATAAAGACATTTTATTTTTAAAAACGGAATATTTGAAAATTATAAACTATTTTACACTTTTTTATTTTTATATGCTAAATTAAATTTGATAATACAAAACATATACTGAATTAATTATTGAATTATCGATAGTCTGTTTTTTGGTTCATCTCTCTAGCTTTATTTTTGTTGAAACTATTTGCTTTTGAAGATTTTTTCGTAATTTTTACATTACAACCATTCCTTTGCTTTTGGTCCTAGTCAATAGACCTAGTAAGTTGTGGTCCCGAAGCAGACCTTCTTGATATAAGATTTGCTTCGTTTAATCTTCTTCTTGCAGTCTCTTCACTTACATGTACGTTCACACAATATATATATGTAAGGTCGCGGTGATTAACTCCCCTCCTAAATTTTCTGCATGTACGTTCCTTAGATGCAATTCATTATAAATTTGAAAAGCTGGCAAACAGCGGTTTCTTAGTGATAAACTTACAATAAGTCGATGGTCTCGATTCAAAGTTCTCATAATGGAGAAGTTACTGGACGTCTAGCATACGAACTTCTCTCGAGGAAGATTACAATTTATTTCATTCACACCCTAATCTGTTAGCAACTTCTAGACTAAAAACCATATCTGCTAGAGTAATTACTCGACAGCCAACAGACAATAATAATATGATTTTTCAATAACAGTGATATTATATAAATTATAAGCACTCATAAGTCTGTTGACTGGGACCAAAAGCAAAGGCATGAGTTTAATGTAAAAATTACGAAAAAAATGTTAGTGCCTTTTCAAACGAATATCTCCAAACAATAAAGTTATTGAGATGAACGAAACAATAGACTATCTGGAAACATGCACCTGGAAAATAAGAAATATTTTCCAATTCCTTGCTTCTTTAACATATTCCACAGGGTGTTCCAAACTTTCACCATAATAACATTTTGTGTTCCAACGTATAATTGACAGATGGGAACTTTCATTTTTAATTTAGACAGAGGTACTAAAAAGTCAAATAATTTAGCTACAAATTGCTTAAAAGATCATCAAAATCAGTCCACTAGAACACAATATAACTTTAAAACACATTAAAATTTTAAGGTGTTCATTTTTCGTGCTGGTGAGTGTACTTAACATTGTAACACTTGAACCTATTACTAATTAAACAACATTTGGCAATTTTCCAAACATTCAATTCTACACCACTGTTCCCCCCTTAAGTTGCCACGATGTCCAACAGCGATAAAGCGATTTGTGGCGCGTCGTGGCGAGAACCACCGACACAGGTAAAAGAGAAGAAGGTGGTACCGAGCTCGATTTCTTCTTATTCTTTTTCTCCTCTCTTCTCTTCTTCTTCTTCGTCTTCTTCTCAGTTGTTTTATTTGTATTTTTTTCCACCGTGAGGGGAACCAAATAGCCGCGGTTTCGGATATATGTTTAACAAGGGCCCGGAGATGGTACGTTTTGCATTTCAGAGGCGTGTAGACGAGCCGATAAACATGGAGAGAACAAAACGAGAAACAAGAGGGACAATGTGAATGGAATTTCGGGACGAGGAATGTGTCGGTCGGACGGGCTCGGGGCGGTTCGGACTAGCGCCGATCGAATTATAGCGATGGAATTATGGAAAGATGCGATAGAAAAAATAAAATATTTATAAAACACTTGTTAATTTTTTTTTAAAATGCTCTATATCCTCGGATTTATGACGAAAAGGCGTAACTCGATTTTTGGCGATTTTGAGATATCAACGTCATGATATGCCCATTAGGTCATTTTTTAATATGAATTTGCGCATCTCAGTATCATACCTTTTTCATTTTATATTCATTTTCTCAATTACTAGAATTCTTTGTTATGATAAAGAGACATATGTTGAGATACAGTTCTTTGTTATATCAATGGTTTTATACTAATTGTTATACTTACAAGGAAGATAGAATTTGAGATAGGTCTTTTAAGTTATGAAAATCCGTGCGAAAGAAAATGACACATTCTGGCTGTTATTTTCTGATGGCTGCTCCATTATAAATTAGATCCAGATCAAACTGGATCATGTAGCATCCATGGAAGGGTCAAAACTACCCCCACCCCTACATAAATTTTAGTATAAATATTTTCCGATTTTTAATAAAATATATTTTATTTCCGACCGATTTCTTTTGGTAAAATGGCCCTTCTAGTATTTACTACATTTTTTGTTTCTTGTAAAAACGAGGAAAAGAATATATTTCCGAAGTTGACTTCCAGTAAATGTTTTTTTGTCACATCAAGCTATGGAGGCGCATAAAATCTAAATGTCACAAATTATATTTGACAATAAGCTTCATAAAAACCTTAAAAAAATAAAAAAAATTAATTAATTACCATTCAGGTATATTTTTTATTGATGCCCTCTAATCTAATGGTTAAACAAAGAGCTTTTGTATAAAGGTAAATTATGTGCAATTAACTTATTTTGGTTCAAAAAATACGTAGTTGTTCTATGTCCACGAAATATTGGAACTCTCTTTTTTGGAAAAAAATGGAATTTTGTAGGTCTGATTTGAAAAAATAAATTCTCCAAAAAAATTTCTGAAAAAATATGCGATGTGGAGTTTTTTTACAAGAGACAAAAATGTACTAAATACTAGAAGGACCATTATACGAAAAGAAAATATGTCATCGGTGGAGTTGAAAAATACTTCTACTAAAATTTATGTAGGGGTGGGGGTAGTTTTCACCCTTTCCGCACTTTTCTTGATTTTTGAGAAAGTAAAATATTAAAGCACTTAGTAAAACTTAAATTTCACCCAAAATTGCATTCAAATCGAAATAACGGTTCTTAAAATATGTTTAATATAATTTGAAAAAATGTGTTTATTTTTTTAAAGTTTGAAGTCCTCCTAAAAAAACTCCTTAAATATCAACTTTAAAATAATTGCATATAAATATACCGTATGATCGAATAAAAACGGCGTCAACGATGGCTATGAAATGAAGATCGCTGTCATTTTATATGTAAAATTATATGGGAAATGTCATCGACCGTCATTTCCAAGCCAACTGGACGCCGTTTTTTTTTCGATCATACGGTATTTCATACATATTTGAAGTAAAGAT